AGATCAAATCCCCCCTCCCCCCCCCCCCCCCCTTGCACATTCAAGACATTCCATTCTGCGGTGAACGGTCGTCAAAGGCCCGTAATCCAGAGTGTTGTCAACAAGCTCAATTCGAGTTACTGACCCTGTATGGCCTCATGCGTGGATATGAGAAAATATGATTTTATGATCCTCCATGTCGTGCTTTGTTCGGTAAATGTTAAACGTTTGTGGGAGGGGGGGGAAGGGAGGAGTAGGGTGTAAAGATCAGTGAGGGGGAAGTGCTAATAGTAATGAAGAAGAGGAAGGGGGGGGGGGGGGGAAAGAGAAGCGCGAAGAGTTGTAGAAGAGGATTGGATGGAAAGAAGTAAAAAGGAGTGGAGAGGGAAAGTAAAGATGAGTACTTAAGGGTTTAGAATTTGATTCGGGAAGAACTGGGTTGGAGGCGGGTTAGGGGTGTAAAATGGATTGAGAGACAAAAGTAAAAAAGAGTTAGAAAAGATTTAGAATAAGATTGGCTAGGAAAGAAGAGTGGGGAGTAACTAAATCTAGTTTTCAGTGGGGGAGAAGTACGACTGCGGATATTATTTATAAATATAAAAAAAATGTTTTTACACGTTTATTAAAAAAAAAATGTTTTTACACTTTGATCTTCAAATTCGTCTAATTATAAAAAAAAACAACACCACATGATCTAGTATACTTAACATTCATTAAAGAGTGTAAACATAAGCTTATCCACTTGTAACATGTTATTTCTCTGACATAACTCCCCCCACCCCACCTCACCCTTGCATACCTGTGCAAGTGTTTTGTACCGGGGTTTCCCCCTACAATGGCGCCATTGTTTCGATACAGACGGGCCGTGGTGAGAGCGACACGGGCGTTACAGGCAGGGGCATGAATTTTTTAAAAATACGGATCCAATAAATCAGCGATCGATTGTGTAAGTGGTTATTGATCCGTTGTTCAACTCGCCGTGTTGGAAATTTGAACGTTATTGGATTATCTCCCATTATTTTGAGAGGGACCAATTTTTTTTTTCTTTTTTTTTTTTTGGGAAGAAATCAATATGTTGAGATATCGATGTGCTGTGACGTAGGGAGGTTTTAAATTTGTTTCCCTATATAGACATTATACATGTCTATATATATATTTGTTTCCCTATACAGAAATTCTCTCTCTCTCTCTCTCTCGCTTTATATATATATATATATATATATATATATATATATATATATATATATATATATATATATATATATATATAATATATATATATATATATATATATATATATATATATATATATATATATATATATATATATATATATATATTGCATTGTTTATAGCTAGCATACAAAACACGAGGCAGCTGTTGAGGTCCATACGATGAGGGAAGGGGGAAGTGGACGGGCCCTGACCTAAGCCCGGCTTATCTTGCAGCCATAATCCTGATCCAAACCCTAGCCCTAATCCTGACTACAATTCTTCTGGCTCTAGCAGCCATACTGACATAAAAACATTACAAATATATATTGTATTCGTATTGATCTTGCAGTGTTTTTATAACCCCCCCCCCCCCTGTTTATCCGTCAGCCTATCTATACATCATTGCTCTGATAAGGAAATTGAAACAAATAAAAGTCGTGTGTGAATATCAAAACTCTGTTAAAGGATTTTTACATTAAAGGCTGTATACGTATTATGTGTATTGCTATAAAAGAAGACTATAAACGTGTACGTTTCTAACAATAAAACGCTGTAATAGGAAGTTTTTCTGGATTCGATTTCATATCGATTATATAGCTTTCACTGTTGTGCACGAGAATAGTAATTCAAGCCAAACATGAGATAAGACAACTCTGTCCGACTTTTTATGTTTACTCCTTTCTCACCTTTAAAGTTATCTTCCCTGATAAATATGCTAATGTGTAGTTTACATTTATTACAAGAGCTTTGTGGATTTTAAAAATCACCAAAAAAAAGCTAAATTGCATATCTCCACTCTATTTAACTATATGTAATGTTTAATGCAATTTTTAACATACTGTTTGGTCGTGTTAAGGGAAACGACTCGGAATTAAGGGGAATAACTCGGGACGTCCTAGTTAACACTTTTTCTTTCTTACCCAACGCTGGTGTTATCTGTACAACAGCACAGTATTAATTTTCACCGCCCTCTTTAATTATTGTATTGTTTTGTTTTACTCATTGGACATACATTAATAGATAGTAATTCCATTTTCTTGCTTTACTTTTTAAGTTCTGTTTGTTTTATTACGATTTGTTTTGATCTTTTAATCCGTAAGAATTATCTCCCTTATGTGGACTAATTTTGGTCGTGGTTTACTCAATATTAAAATAAAAGTGTCGTTTCCATAATATTATCTAGTTTTCAAGCTACTAATTAAACAATAATTGTCAGAATTTTTGAACGTTTGACAGCTGTTAGTGTGATGATTCACGGTGTGAGCTACGAAGGACATAGTGAGCCAAATTGTGCCGATTTTTGACATCTTTTTTGACATATTGAAATTTTCGGGGGGGGGGGGGGGGGGGCGGTAGAGATGCCTGGAAGAAACTCTGGTAGACACGTTTAGCTTCTATATATCATACAGTGGTAGACACGCCTATCTTCTATATATAAGAAAGTGGTGGACACGTTAGCTTCTAAATCTATATAGGCACTAAATCAGGTTTAACTTCTGTTAATGCTGTTTAAGTTCCATATAGTCCCTATATCAGCCACTGGAATAGGTGTACAGGTTTAACTTCTAGATACAGGCAGTGGGAGACATTGAGTTAACGTTATTCAAGTTCAATATGGGCCCTATATCATGCACTGGAATAGACGTACGTGTTTAACTTCTAAAGACCAAGTAGTGGGAGACATCGGGTTAACGCTGTTTAAGTTCCATATAGGCCCTACATCAGGCACTGGAATAGGCGTACAGGTTTAACTTCTAGATACAGGCAGTGGTAGACATTGGGTTAACGCTGTTCAAGTTTCCTTTATCAGGCACTGGAATAGGCGTACAGGTTTAACTTCTAAAGACCAAGTAGTGGGAGACATTGGGTTAACACTGTTTAACTTGATATCAGCACCGTGGACACACTGTGTAACTGTCGTCTTCTAGCTGATTAATCCACCATAAAGTGACAGCTCTATTAGCCAGCCTGTATTGTCGTGATTGGCTCGATCAAGCAAGTCTTAAGGTTCACTCGGGCCTTGTTGATTCACCGGCCGCCCCCGTGTCCGCATTGCATGGATCGACCGTCGTATCAAAAAGTGGTCCTTATTGATTTTTGTTTTGTTTCGTTTACGATTTTTATCAGTTTGAAAAGAACGAAGGCATAGCTCAAATATTTAAAGATCTGTTTAAGACGATTATAATTTTAAACGTCTCAAGTTTTTTTTTTTTTTTGCTATGAGAATAACCGATATGGCGATGGTATTTTGATAACAAAACCTTTCAATTAGTTGTATGTCTGTATGTTGTTTAGTATGGCTATGGTCAACCAGTGACCTCTTACATCTTGTAAAATATGTCCTTATAATATGGTAAATTGTGGCCACTCATACTGTCATACATACCCTCATGCTCAGACCCGCAACTGTCATTTGTAGTAGTAATCGTATATTAATATTGACTAACTAATATCAAGTATCGAAATTTAGTAAACCTAACCGCGAAGATACATTGTGTAACGATATTACCTATTCACACTATTTCATAATCGATTTTCCCCTATTGAAACTGCAAGAAAAAAAATCATTAGCTTTTTGTTTTGTTTTTTTCGATTTTAACTTCACTGTAGGCCTACTGGGGTGGCTACAGACCAACATGTTGTGTCATGTTTTTAACTTGCTCTAGCTTGGGATACTTTGTAGATCTAATGTGGTATATTTTTAAAGAAACCACAGCCCACCGGCAAACCATCCGTCCGGGTTACGTTAAGAGATTGAAAATAAAGTTGATGGTAGAGGAAGTAGAGTTCAGCTGATGGCAAGTAGGCTTTGTGAAAGCTAACTAGTAGGCCAGAATTATGGTAGAGGGAGTAGAGTTCAGCTGATTCTGATGCCAAGTAGGCCTATATGTAGGCTTAGTGAGATCTGGCCGGAATTATGTTATTACATTAAAAGTCAAGTACCCTTTAAGACATAATGGTAGATGAAGAAGAGTTTTGCTGATTCTGATGCCAAGTAGGTCTATATGTAGGCTTTTTGAAATCTAACTAGTAGGCCAGAGTTATGATAATATATTTAAAGTAAAGTACCCCTTCAAGACATAATGGTAGAGGATGTAGAGTTCAGCTGATTATGATGTTAAGTAGGCCTAATGTAGGTTTTTTGAAATCTAACTAGTAGGCCAGAGTTATATTAATATATGTAAAGTATCCCGTTCAAGACATAATGGTAGAGAAAGTAGAGTTCAGCTGATTCTGATACCAAGTAGACCTATATGTAGGTTTTGTGAGATCTGGCCGGAGTTATGTTAATACATTAAATGTCAAGTACCCCTTCAATACATTTTGGTAGAGGAAGTAGAGTTTGGCTGATGCTGAAGCAAGTAGGGATATATATAGGGTTTGTGAAATCTAACTAGAAGGCCAAAGTTTTGTTAATAGATTTAAAGTAAAGTATCCCTTTGAAGACTTGGTGGTAGAGGAAGTAGAGTTTAGCTAATGCTGATGGTAAGTAAACCAATATGTAGGCTTTGTAAAATCTAACTAGTTATCCTAACTGGTGCAGGGTAAGTTTACCCACAGCAATAATTTATAGACCTACAATATACAAAAGTATTGAAGTTGTGGTTGTAAAAATTTTTTTTTCCAGTCAAACAAAATTTATTGGTCTGCAGTTTTTGATCATGTTCAACAAAGTCCCAAGTGAAATGTTTTTCTCTGTCTGCTGATTGTGTTCATTGTGTTAAACAAAGTCCCAACTGTAATGTTTCCCTCTCTGCTGATTGTGTTCACCAAAGTCCTAACTGAAATGTTTTTTTGTCTCTGCAGGTCAACACATGTGACCAGAACACAGCCAGGTGCTGTGAAATCATTGAACTCAATGCCAAAGTTCAAGGTCAACTCTTTAAACTCCTCAGCCTCTGTGCACAAGAAGGTATGCAAACATGGTAGCGGGCATGAGTTTATTCAAATAGCATGGTAACATGAATGACATAAATTCAAATTACTTTGTAACATGAATAACATAGAAATTCAAGTTACTTTGTAAGATGAATAACATATAAATTCAAGTTACTTTTTAAATAAAATAGTCAAAATGGTTATAGTCATAGTAAGAGGTGTAGTATGCCTACAAGTTAAAAAAAATATGAATCCTTCTCTGTAATTTAATATCTGTTCTGTGTCTGGTGTAATACAAATACAAATTTGACACTGTCTCCACTAGGTGGGATGTATGGAGGTGCCGGTATCATCAAGTCTCGTCTCCTGCCCTGGCTGGGCCAAAACTTCTTCACCTCAGGGGGAGCCGTCACAGCAGACACCAGTCTCAGCGTACTGGCAGAGGCCGCAGCCAAGGACAGAGAACTCACAGAGCTCCAGGACGTGTACGAGAGGTCTCTGGACGAGCTGGACGTTGAGTTGAATCGGGCGCGCACAGAAAACCAGGACTTGAAAGACGAGTATGATTATTTTCATCTTTTTTGTTTATAAGAATTAAATGTTATAAATTATTAGTGTACAGCAAAACATTTTAAAGACATTATTTATTTATAATATGGAGTGGTATGGGCTAAGCGGTAGAGTGCTAAGTTGCTAACCTGAAAGTCTCGAGTTCGAATCTGGGTCCATGTCAGTAGAACGTCCCTGAGTCCACCCATTTACGATGGTTACCTAACTTATGTTAGGGAAACTAAAGGCGGCTGGGCAAAACTCTTACCACACCTTTCTTTAATATGCCAAGGTCAAGAAACTTATGAACTATAATATACTTCATCTACCCAAAGGATCGCTAGATCTTTACTTTTTACTTATTCATAATATTTTTTGGATAAGTTATATTTTAAGATTGCACTTTTTCTATATAAGCACATTTTAAAACAGTTCATTTAAAAACAATTTTTTAATAAGACGTTTAAAAAGTAATTTTACATTCTCATAAAAGATTTGGTACAATTCCTAATTGATGTTATTGATGCTGGCCACACTTGTAGAGTTAGGAATTAAGTCAGATTTTTGGTTATGAATAAAGCTAGGGTTAGGGTATAGATAATAGCCAAATAAGCTTTAATATGGCCAACTGTTGTTTGTGCACACACCTCATCTTTCAAAATACAAGCAATGATTAGGTAAATGACATTTGTACACATCTTTCAAAATACAAGCAATGATTAGGTAAATGACATTTGTACACATCTTTCAAAATACAACCAATGATTAGGTAAATGACATTTGTACACATCTTTCACAATACAACCAATGATTAGGTAAATAATATTTGTACAAACTATTCCTGCTACAAAAAACCCCCACTATTACCTGCAGACTTCAGGAGACTAAACTGGAACTGGACAGAAGTTTGAGGGCCTCCACCAGTGACAAGATGTTTACAGAACTGGAGGTCAACGACCTCAAGAGGAAGTAAGCTTCTGTTTGTGTTTTTGTTTTGTTAACTTTTCTCAAATACAACACAAAATTTTAACATTTGGTTGTTTTCTTGTTAGGGTTTTCAAAATACTATTATTATTTTTTTTGTTTAAAAAAATGTAGATTGGCAGCAGCAGAAGAAGAGAACAGACTTCTGAGATCAAAGTCTGGTCTGCTGGCAGACTATCAGACGGAGGTGCGCAGGCTGCGTGATGACATTGCGCTGCTGTCTGCTCGCAGGGATGTCCTCACCAAGATTCCAGATCCCCCAGTGTATGAGCGCTCTAAGCTGGATGATAAACTCAAGTAAGAAATCTTCAAACAATACCGTCTTTGAAGTATATGTAGAGTTGATGGTGTTTTCTTTTGGTTAATTTTCATTGTGATTTTAAACCGTTTACTTTTATTAGAATTGGCTTCAATTCTAAACATAAAAAATTGATACTTGTATTTGGGTTTCCAAGCTTATTTTGTCCATGAGCCCACCCAGTTTAATTGGGTACCTGATTCACGTTAAGGAAACAAAGCCGGCTAAGCACAGTGCTGACCGCACTATCCATTCATATGCCGAAGTCATATAAACATGTGAGCTCTGCTACATCTGTCTTGGGCACAAACAAGAAACGATGAAGATGTTAATGATGATATTTTAAGTCTACCTAAGCTGAAAAAAAAAAACTAGTTAGTCTAATTAAACTTGGCTTCATTAGCTCTGTCTCAGAGCCAGCTGATGACCTTGCAGTACTGAGAGCCGCCAGGGTTTCAGTACAAAGTGCTGATTATGACCGCAAGATAGAAACTCTGCGCCGAGAGATGGGGGAGCCAAATATGGGGACAGATAGGGAACCAGATGTTGGGGAGGAGCGTTGGCCACAGTGAGTATAGGGGGCAACGTGTGTGTTTGTACATGCTTTTCAAGATTCGTAAAGTTTATTTTTTTAAAAACGCATTTTAAAACTGAATTTTTCCATTTATGTTTTTTTTTTGGTTTAGTAGAATGATTTGGTTTATAAATTTTATATTTATAATGATTAGTCTGATTAAATTTGTTTGAAAATGAAAACATTGATAAGTTGGAAGTTTACATTATATTTTATAGTCTCACTGTTGCCCCCTATACTATAGAATTTATTTTTTCATTTATTTATTTATTATTTTTTGTATAGTATAAATTGTTTTTTGCTTTTATAATTGGTAAATCTTTCTTAGTTTTTTAATAGTTAATTTATGATTTTGTTAAAATTTATCGTATGCTAAAATTTTCTATGCCTTATTATTTCTTATTGATATGCTGAACTATGTTTACATTTGTTTATAAATTTTATAACTTAGAATATTCAAATAAAGAGAATTTAATGCAATAATAGAATAAATAAATGAAAATCTTTAAACTAGACCTAATTAGATGAGAATTGTATTTTTTTTCCCAGTGACTTAAACTTGTACTACAAATATGTGCCTGGACCAGTGTCTCCTCTCTCTATTGACGACACGATCCAGCGCATACGTCAACAAAACCTGGTCGCACGATTCAACGACATGTTTGCACAAGATAGACTTAACACCATGGACACACTCAGGAGGTACTCAGACGACCATGAAAACAACCAGAGGATATGTTTTGCCATCATGCAGGTCAGAACCCCCAGTTGCTAACAATATTAGTAAAGGGAAGTAACTAAATTTTTAATATCTTGTCTATTAGTTTGAGTTATCGTTCCTGAATAAAGTAAAACTTTAATTTCCCATAAGCTTTTCTAATTAGATTCGTGGTCTAGGGTTGAAACTTGTGAAATAAATTTAACTTGTATTGCTGTCCTTTTTTCCCCAGGAAGCTTTCAACGTTGCCAAGCTAGAGTTCCGTCAGTTCAAGATGAAGACACGATCCAACTTGGCAAAAACCCATTATGGACCTGACACGCTTGAGGAGGCAGTGCAGGATTACATCAACCGTAACACTGACCTGTATGATTTACCTGCCATGGTGTCTGTAAGTCATGAAGATTGATAAACTCTTTTCACGCTTCCTTCAAAAAAATTCTTTTACTCATATTTAATTTTTTTTTTGGTAGAGTAATACATTATTTTTGTGATAACTATTTAAATTAGACATACAAAAAAAATCATTAATGAAAACCAAACATAAAAACATATTTTTAGTGTTATTGATACATTATTAACTTTTAATAAATTATTAATAAGCTCTGAGGAAATCATTTCCATAGCTTAATCTTTAGTAATGAAAATAAACAAGAAATTATTGGAATTCGCTTTTCAAAAAATTCTTTGAGATAGAAACATGCTTACATCTTGTACTTACTGTTACGGGTCAATTGTAGCTTAGATTAGAATAGACTAGAATAGTTCATAATGTAGGGGAGAGGTTTGTGTGAGTTGAGTGAACCCCGGGTGATTAGGTATTGTTATCCCAAGGTCGAGTGCAGGTATATAAGCTAGAGTGAATGATTGTAAAGGGCTTATAGTTAATAGTGGCTAGAGACGAGGGCTGCTGTGTAATGTGTAAAGATGAGAACAAATAAAGTATTGAACATTTTCTCGGATTGTTTTTTGCATTAAATAAAACCCAGATGTAACACTTACATGCCATCATTATCTGTTAGACAAAATTGATGTTCAATAAGATTGTTTTTTACAGTAGTTTTTTCTTAATATGGTATAGTGGTGTCCTTTGCACTATTTTAGACCAGCTGTATTACAAACTCACCCATCTGAGTTCATAAATTGCCAGTAGTTATAGGCTACTCTTCTGATCAATAGTTTTCAGACTTTTTATTTCGAATACCCTCTAACAACCTATTCAAATTAGCTAATTAGAATTGTTTGATTATGGCTAATTACAGGATGTAATCAGAGCCCTGAACAGAAACTCCAAGATATTCCTGCCACCAGACACCACCTATGCCATCTGCCAGCCATTTATTCGCGAGGCGGTCAAACTGGCATGGCAGATGAGTGCCCTGGCACATCCTCTTGATATTGCCGTGGCAACAGATGCTGAGTTGTTTGATGATACCAAGTAAGTCAAAAACTCTATTTAAAACCCTACATAAGCGCAGTTAGTGTTTCTAAGTTTCAAAAAAATATATGTGGGTTATGATTTTAAATTTTTTTATGGTGTTGACTTGTACCTTGTTAGAGTTAGGATTCATTACTTTTATTGATCTGAAATATTTTCATAAGGTTAATTAATTCACAGAAAATACATTAGCTAATTAACTTACTTCTTGAAAATAACAACACAATTGTCAGTAATTAAAATCTATTTAATATTACTGGCCCATTGATAAATTATATACTTTTTCCTAATAATTAAAATATTATTTTAAAATGAATTTTAATTGGTACTCTATCTGAGCCAAAACTATCTCTAAAGCATACCTACTTTTATGCTCTTTAAAACAATCCCACTTTATATGTTTATTTTATTTTCTTATTAAAAACCGTATTTTAATATTCAACAAAAAAGTTTTACTTTGGGGTACCATCACAATAAGAACTATAACATTTTGGCTGTATTTTGGTATCTAACAAAAATGTTTCTCTCCCAGGTACCGTCGCAGCTATGACTCTGAGTACACCGCCCCACTGGTGAACCACCATATTTGGCCCTGCCTTGTTCAAGGGGTGAGAACTCTAGTGAAAGGAGAAGCTGTCACACGCAGGGGAGCCTCACTGGTGAGTAACTGCAGCAGGTCATGTCTGGATGTTTCATGTCTGCGATGTAAAGATTTGCACATCTCTGCCCACACCGCGTTAATGTCTGCCAAAGCAGTCTGCTTTCTTTTTTTCTTAAGTAAAACTTAATATTTTACTGTTGTCTTTAATGGCTGTGCAAATTTTTACTCAAAAAAAAAATGTTGGTTTAGTTATTGTTAATCTCTGACAAAGTAGTAGTTTCTCCTGTAATTGAAAACTATAGCTGAAATTGGTTATACTAAAACATTTGGTTATCTCACCAAATTTTAGATTCAAAATACTGAAGCTGACTTTCACTTCTAGAAAATCTATACCTGAAATACTGAAATTACTTTCCTTCACAGAAGATATGTTTTTATAACTATATTATTTTATAGACGCTTTGTTTTAAAAATCTCTAACAACACTAACTTGATTGATCTCTATGTCAGGGAACACCAAGCCGCTCCAGAAGCCCAGCCAGAGCTGCCAGCCCATTCCGTTCCCTGTCACCCAGCAGCCGCTCCCTGAGCCCCAGCCGGTACAGGAGTCGCTCGCCCAGCCCAGGCAGACGAGGACTCTCCCCAACTAGGAGAGCTCGCTTCCTTTAAAGGCAGGACATTTCTCTTTGCTGGTTTTTAGTATTACAGTTTATATTTATTGAGAGAAGTGTTCTCTTCTCTAGCTGCTTGTATATGTTTTAGTTGATGTATCTGTAGATTTATTTCAATATGATTTATTTCATCTTTAACTTACAAAAATATTTCCTCAGACAATCAAAAGTGCCTTCTTGCAAGAAATTGAAAATGATCAAACAAATATCTAAACCTTTTTTTTAAAACTTTTACTACAAATGTGATATTTTTGGAAAACTTTAAATGTGCAGATTTTCATGTAAACTGTAGTTTTTATGTTATTTAAAACAACAACTCTCTTTTGTTTTAAAAATTATTTTAAAAAGCTATAAGAAATATTTGCTTATGAACAAATTTGTGACCATTGCTTAGGAAGGTATTTGAGACCATTATTTATGAAAGTATTTGAGAATGGTATTTGAAACCATTGGTTAGGGAAGTAATGAGACCATAGTTAAGAAAGGTTTTTGAGACTGTTGTTTAGGGAAAGTATTGAGACCATAGTTTAGGAAGGTTTTTGAGGCTGTTGTTTAAGGAAAGTAATGAAACCATTGGTTAGGAATGTGTTGGGGACTGTTGTGTAGGATATAGGTGTTGTCAGGTAGCAGAGGTCAAGGACACACTGCCACAACAAAGTTCATACATTTGTTTTAGGTCATCTAACAAATACATCAGAATGGAAGAGTTGATAAGATCAGCTGTTTGTGCTGCTAAGCTCTTAAGATGGATCCATTAGCTTTAGTGTGTAATAAGCATTTTGTTACTAGACATTGGTTTAGTAATGAACAGTTTATATCTTTATAGAGTTGCTAGATATTTTTATTTTTACTTTACAAAACACGAGTATTAGTTTAGCAGTTATTGTTGAGTTATTAGTTTATGTGCCTATTTATGAATTAAAATTTTACCAACTAATTTATTTAAATTTTTTTACTTTGTCGCAATTTGTAGACACTTTTTTTGTAAACAATTCTAACAAGATTACATTGTCATATTTTGAATTAAACACATTTTTTAAATATTGTAGTCTAAAATAATAAACTAAACAGTTTTTAGCATTATATAAAACTTATACCTGTTTGGCAAATTTTTAAATGCCATGGTTTAAATTTTAAAAAATAAAATTATTCAAAAGGAAATAAATGGAACAATATCTAGTTAAAAATACTTTTTATCCAAATGTTAAAAAAGGAAAAAAAAATTTTTTTTATTTATGTTGCAAGGTGAGGTAAATTTAAAAAAAAAACTGTCTCATTGTGGTTTGATGTACACTAAATTGCAGTTAATTATTTTTTTGTCATAACCCTATTTAAATTAACTTCTTATTAATGGTGATATTATAGACTGAATCTGTGATTATGTATGTTTAAGCTTTTAAGACACAAAATTTGTTTTATTTGTGTGTTGACCTGTGATAAAAATTCCAACTTTTTAACATTTTAAATCTTTGAACAGTGTTTTAAAATATACTTTTTAATTTATCCTTTGAAATAGTTTTAATATGTATTTAAGTCTTCAGTATGAACAATTTTATCTTTGACTATTTTTTTAAAAACTAAGTGTAGTTTCAAATTTATGCAAAATGTTTTTTTCATACACACCTTTCTTTTTCAATCTTCTATTATAATTACTTAATTAATTCTTATAACCTATTTTAGAAATTATACCCACTTAGTAAAATAGTTAACTTTAATAAGATAATTCTATAATAAATAAATTTAAATTATTTCAAATTGTTTTTGTTACTTTTTGGAGACTGTTTGAACTTCTCTATTGTGTCCCTAAAGTTAATGAGATTGTATTCTTTATTTAATTGGTAATTAACCTTATTTTAATATTGTTTTAATTAAAAATTCATTTGAGAACATTTTGATTGTGATTAACTTGTGCAGGGAGATAATCAGTGTAATAATACTCCAATCACAGACTGTGTCACACCACCTAAAAGGGTGACTGTGGGGTGGGGGAAGGACCCAACACATTGGTCAAGTACAGTCAGTGCGTTACTTTTTTGGTCAATCTAACTTTTGTGTAGGCCTATATACATTTTTTCCTTTAATAGTTTTCAGTGAGATAACTTTAGTTTTGTCAGCAATGTTGGGTTGTTATATTTAGTTTGTACTAACATAGAGGAATGCAGTATTGTTTAAATGGAGTAGCCTATCTCCCATACCATCACTTTATTACCTTTATTTTAATTCTCTCCCCTATATATCCCTTCATGAACATAACAACGTCCAAGTTCTTTCATTTAAGAGATCTTGCACATAAAAAGAGATATTTTATATTAAGTTGTCTCCCATACGGTTACTTTAATACACTTTTATTTCAATTCTCTCCCCTATATTTTTCATTGAAGAGATCTTGCACAAACAATAAAAAAAAGCAATCGACATTTTGAACCACCAGCCCACGCCATTTAATGCCACGGCATCTCTTCCAGGCATCTCTTCGGGGGGGGGGGGGGGAGGGGCGAAGCCCGAAATTTTTTTACCGCCCCCCCCCCCCCCCGAACGAAATGAAATTTATATACTTTATAAAGAAAATATATACTTTTAACAGTCTCCGCCCCCCCCCCACCCCCCCGAAGAAAGTTTACCGCCCCCTCCCCCCCGAAAATTTCAAGTGCCCCCCCCCCCCCCCCCGGAGAAAAAAGTCTGGAAGAAACACTGGATACAATACCACGCACACTGAGTGAACAAGACACCGTGAACAATACACAACAAGATGTGTTAAACTGTGGTCTTATGACATTAAAAAAGTCTAAAAATTACACCATTCACCCCCATCGTCAAAAGCTGTAACTGAAACAACTGTAATTTTAAGGGTCCATGTGGTAGGAGATGTTCAACCAATGTTCCTTCCAGGCCTCCTTTCGGGGGAGGGGTGGGGGTAAACTCGTATCAGTTTAACAACACTCCAATCGGAGACTGAATAGAGTCTATAGAAAATATATACTTTTGATTAACAGTGTCCGCCCCCCCCCCAACCCCGGACATCTTTAGTCCGCCCCCCTCCAGCCCCCCCGCCCCCCCCCCCCCCAAATTTTTTTTTTCAAGTGCACTGGTTCTAACACAGTGGAGCTCTAACCACCCCCTCACCCCTCCACCTGCGCCACTGCTCTGTTCCCATTTCTACAACTGTGAATGTACACGCCCCCCCCCCCCCCCACCTGATCCCCTCCCAGTGTTTCCCCAATGTGTTAAGAAATGAAAGCCGTCTGTAACTAAACTCAAACACCGCTGGCAAACATCCTCCTCCATGACGGTCCTGCCATTGAGAGTGGGGTCACGTGGCGACGGTCACGTGGCGTGTGTCATCAACATCGTTAGGCCCAATCAAAACACGGGAGAAATTCTTCTGTAGGCGGATAAATTATAAACGTTATCTAAAAACTTGGAGCTCAGCAATACGCCCAAGAAGGTTGCTTGATTTGAAATTAGTTTATCAGGTAAGACAAAATCAGAGTTTATTTCATATATTTTTCTCTTGCGGGGGGGGGGGGGGGGGGGTAACTTGAAACTTCCGGAGACACTGGATAAAGTATACATTTTTTATGTTATGTTCTATTTCGTCCAAGGAGGGAAAGTGTGGCAGGGGAGGAGAAAGAAAATCTGGACAAGAACAAAATACTTGTTTTGAATTAATTTGGGTGACAATGTTTTAAATGTGAATCGTCCATCAATGACTTATGCCATATGCCCCCTCCCCCCCCCCCAAAAAAAAAGTTTAATGTATCCTACATTACATTTCCTACCCCCCCCCCCCCCCCCCCCCGCCACCTTTGCTCCTATTTGGTCATTTATGAGCGATGCCATAGTGATACTTTAGTATCGCCAACCTCGAGTTAGAGGAAATAACCGGGAGTGATCTCCCCTAAACTTTCTCGAATATTCTAATATAAAACTACAAGGGATGGCAACTCAGGACATAGACAATATTTGTAATCCATTTTTAATTACTTAAACTTTTTATAATAGAATAGAATCTCGTAAAAAAAGAATTGCACACCAAGTGAACGCCTAATAAAATGTGCATAATAGTACTTTATAAATTTACATGCGTTTTTTGAGAAATCGGAAATAGCGTAAATTACTACTTCCGGTCAACGGAAATTACTCAAAATTTGACCGAAGGTAGAGAATCAGATCTTTTACTTACATGTGAAATTTCATTTATCTATCTGAAATAGTACTCAAGTTATAGGCTTTTGAAAAATTCAAAGTAGAAAAAGTACCACTTCCCATTATTGGAAATCGCTCAAAAGTTGATACGGATCTACGATTTTGATAAAATACTTGTATATGAAATTTCATCAACCTTGCTGTAACGGTACTCAAGTTATTGTGTTTACACACAGACACACACACACACACACACACACACACACAAAGACACACAGACATACGGACAAGATTGCAAAATTATGTTTTTCCGTATCAGTGAGGTGTAAAACGTCGAGATTTGTAAAAATCTCGATTTTTTTTTTTCATGATTACAAGACTCTTCTATTCTTCGTATATACGAGAAAGTAATAAAAAGTTCCTTATTTCCAAACTTTAATTTTTACATTGTGTCACTCCTTGATATTTAAAAGAAAAACGTGAGCCATAATTGTATCGGTCAGCTGTGTTCAACCCATCTGGTGGTAGCCGCTACCTGCAGGCTACACACCCACCACCACCTTCTCTCCTCTTTTTCCTATGTTTATTCCCAGAACCACGAAGGGAAAGCGCACTGCCATATTGTGTCAATCTTTGTAGAAAAAGCAATAGGCTATCTAGGTACAAAAATAAAATCCAAAAAATAAATTAAAAATAAACAATTAATTTAGAATTAATTTTTGTGTGTATGTAAATAAAACGCACATAATACACACATAATATAAATCAAATCTATTATATCAGCGAGCGTACACAATACGTTTATTTTTTTTAAAAGTTTTTAATTTCCTATTTTCAATGGGGGGACCGTGGGGGGGGGGGGGGGGGGAGGCGGACAAGTGATAAAAAATATGTAAGAATTACTTTATTTGTGCTGTTTTAAAATCAGAATTTCTATTATCGATTGCTATAATTATGTGTTGTTATACAAAATATCATAGAGTTGTAAATACAACTTTTTGTTTGGTGTGTTAAAGTGTCGCGACACCGTGGGAACCCACCATTTCGATAAAGATCTTTTACAGCCTGTGGCTATTGTCAACAATTTGGGGGAGGTCAACTTTGTAAAATTTATATCTGGCTAAACTTTAGAGTGT